AAATAAATAAATAAATAAATAATCTATTAATATTCTACACAATTCCTGCTTTCTTTTTATTCACTTTCTTTACTGAACAGGGTGAGAAAGTGAACTGGATCTACTCACAGGGCAATCATCCACCCCAAGTCAGATTTTGACTGCTGTGCCCTTTTGACATTTAAGTGGAAAGCCTAGTGTCTGTACAATGTACGGAAATATGTGTTACACATAAATATATAACCCTGTTAAGAATATACTGGCAAGGGAACATGGAGTCAACCTGGTCAAACAACTGAACTACCTTCTGGAAAATCAAAGGCATTAACAATTGTGATATACTCAGCAAGCACTGCAGGGCACATCGAAACTAAAAGAATATGATGTAGTTGGAGACAAGATAACTGAAGAATTGTTATGTTATTAAATTAAATGGTCATTAAAAGCCAATGAGTTAAATGATGTTGGGTGAAGGTGTGATAGATCCGGAACTACAGAAAAGGCAAAAACTTTATGAAGTCTGGCAACAAAAGCAAAGCATTTCCAAGGAAACTGATCAGCAAAGTACTGTACTACTGAAAGGAAGAAACCTCAGTGATGGCAACCAGATCTTCATGGCAAACTTACAAGGAAATGCAAAGAGGGAGATGGGGACATCAGCGGATACAGAGATAATCCACTGTAGCCAAGACTAATTACTTGCAAGAGATAGAAACAATTTTTTTTTTTGGAACAGAGATTTCTGGAGAATACCTACATCATTTGACAAGAGACATAAACAAAGAGCAAGACAGAAACAAACACATAAAATCAGTCCACATTGCAATAACATACAGTGGTGCCTCGCATAACGTTTGCTTCGTTTAACGTTTTTTTCGCTTAACGTTTATTTTTTCAGAGTCAGATTGTGCTTCGTATAACGTTTTTCCCTATGGGCGATTTTCACATAGCGATTTTGGGACCATGCTTCGCTTAACGTTTTTGGTTTTAGGTCCCCTGCTTCACTTAACGATGTTCATTTTTTCAATTACAAAAGTGTCTTAACATGTTGAAAAACGGTTTTAAATGCTTGGAATCGTTAGTGCACCTTCTAAAATGTGTGCATACTTAATTTGGCGTTGATCTGACTTTTCGTTAATTTTTTGTGAATTTTTTTCTCCCCCATAGGAAACAATGGAGCTGTCAGATTTTGACAGCTGTCAAAAGTTGGGGGGAAAAAATTCACCATAAATTAACGAAAAGTCAGATCAAAGCCAAATTAACTTTTGCATCCGTTTTAGAGGGTGCAGAAGCTAATCCAAGCATTTAAAACCATTTTTGACCCTTTTATGACACACTTAAATTTGCAAAAATTGACTTCGCAAAGCCATTGAAATGTATTGAGTGGGCTTCAATACATTCCAATGGAGGAAACATTGTATCGTTTAACGATGTTTCCTATGGGTTTTTTCGTTTAAGGACGGCAATCCGTGCCTATTGGAACAGATTAACCGGTTTCCAATGCATTCCTATGGAAAATGGTGTTTCGCATAAAGTTTTTTTCGCATAAGGTTTTTTTTTGGAACCAATTAAAAACGTTATGCGAGGCACCACTGTATATTGTGAAAGATTATTTTAAATCATAACCTTTGTAAACTGGATATATAGAGAAGAGACCCACTGATTGTTCAGGAAATAAGCTGCAAAAAACGTTATGCAAGGCACCACTGTATATTGTGAAAGATTGTACTGTACCTGAGCACAGGCTACACTGACTAGCACTAATGGGAATTCAGCTCCAATAACATACCAAGAGCTATAGGTTTCCTACCTGTAACATTAGTTAAAACAGCACTTTAAAAAGTTTGATTTATATTATTCTCATTTATTTGTGTGTGTGTTTAGCTGTGCCCCTATAAGCTAAACTGAACCAAATAATATTTATTTCTCCCTATAAACAGTTACAGTTAAATCAATGTAGTTGCACCTTGGTACAAACACCTGCTTGCAAATTATAATTTATTTAATTTTGCTTCCTTATATGTCATTTTTAAGGTATCATGTCAAATTGCTACAAATGAATACACAAACAAGTCTTACCTTCCCCATCAAAGGTCCCTTGTCCTTTCAGCATTTTCTTCTAAGTTAATTTTAAAAAGAAAAAAGGTGAAAAGAGAACACTGGTGAAAAAAATGACTGTAGCAAGCCGCAAAAGAAAAAAACAGCACTTACAAACTATGGCACAAATAAATATGAATAAATGTTTTATGATTAGCAAGGCATGCCTGCAACCACAAATCCAAAGATCTGCATCTTTGGAAAGATTCTGGCCTAGAATTAGAGCATTCCAGATCTCAGCAAAAAAAATTTAAAAAGGCACACACATGGATTTGATGCCTCTGTTGAACTTAATGGAATGGAAATCTGCAAGTGGAGTAATTTCACAAGTACATCAGATTGCATTACATAGTGCATTCTAGTTATGAATAACCTTACTTTGAACCGGATCAATTCTATCAAAAAGAATACGACAAATAATGCATTTTGGTAGAAATTAATGATTATGTAAGTGACTTCATTAATCTGTAATCACCTTTAAAGTCCACAGCCTTTATACAAGACACAGAATTCTTTTTCTTAATTTCTCTAGAACAGTTTCCTTAGATGGATGTCCATGAGGAAAACACACACACAAGTGTCTGCTTTGCTCCATGAACATATGTTTGAATGCAGCAGATCTAATTATGGTTAGCCCTGGAGTGGGTCAGTAATTTTAAACATCTTGCAGAAGTTTTCATTAAATATTAAAAGTTTCCGGCACCTGGGCAGTAGTGTACAAGTGAAATGCATGAAAACTATAATGTATTCTAACAATCAAAAACTTTAGTACTCCTTTGCAGCATTTTAATAATTATTATCAAGACACAGAGAACATAATGAGGTCCAACATTTTATGACACTTAGAAAACATTCATTGACTGATTACACTGTAAGACTACTGTATTCTTAAAAAGATACTTAAATCAAGGATTAATGTAAACACACTACACCAAGAAAACCACAACAAACTTGTGGATATTGTTCTACAGTTAAATATGTTTACTCAAACACTTCTTGGCTTATCCAAGGGAATAGTTTAGGTGCAGAGGCAAATACAGAAATGCTACATTCACAGCAAGTGGTTTACACTTTGTTTACAGTCCTTGTCAGTGCACAATCTGGGACCAGCACCGGACATACAATATGTACAAGGTGTTCACTCAGAAATAATCTTTCTCTCCTGTGTGGAAAGAAAGGTAACTGTGTCTTGCTTCTCACATTTGCAACTGAGCACACAAATACCCTGACTGCAACACTCTTCAAAAACAAAACCTCTTGGTATATCTTACCTAACAATCTGATTTAAAGCTAACAGTACAGTACCTTTCACACTGAGATGTTAAACTGTGAATACCTCCATAAATATATATGGTTACAATTTTGGATCAAGTTCAAAGAAACTGTCTTCCAGTCAGGGCTTATTTGCACTTTATGTAGCAATTGTCACAAAACACTGGTGTTTAGCATGTGAGGAAACATATATAGCAGGCTTGTCCAACCTGCGGCCCAGGTCAGCTCATAATGCGGCCCAGTGCAATTTTTTATTGTTAAAGAAATTCCAAAGTTTCAAGTTACACTGCCGGCACTTGCAGCCAGAATTCGGCTGGGGCACGTCACAATTAAAGCCACCGGAGTCGAAGCTGGCAGCCTCTGCTGTCTGAGATCGCAGCTGCCGGTGAGCGCGCTTGGAGTGGGGCTGCAGAGGATGGCTAGGGCTGCCCCCCCATGCGGCCCAAACCAAATTTATGTGTGGCCCAAACCAAATTTTCATCTTCTAATGTGGTCCAGGGAAGGTGAAAGGTTGGACACCCCTGATATATAGCATATTACCAAGGAATTGAATAGCAACTATTTACACTGAAAATTAAATAAGTGTGATGTGTAAATAAATTGCCACTAATCTTGCTTGCCATGCTCAGGGTAGCAAGGAGTTAGTCAGATCCTAAGGTAAAGGTAAAGGTTCCCCTTGACAATTTTTGTCCAGTCGTGTTCGACTCTAGGGGGCGGTGCTCATCCCCGTTTCCAAGTCATAGAGCCAGCGGGGTTTTTTGTCCGAAGACAATCTTCCATGGTCACATGGCCAGTGCGACTTAGACACAGAGCGCTGTTACCTTCCCACCGAAGTGGTACCTATTTATCTATTTGCATTTTCATGCTTTCGAACCGCTAGGTTGGCGGGAGCTGGGACAAGTGACGGGCGCTTACTCCGTCACGTGGATTCGATCTTACGACTGCTTGGTCTTCTGACCCTGCAGCACAGGCTTCTGCAGTTTAGCCCACAGTGCCACCATGTCAGGTCCTATTGAACAAGATTAACCTGAGGCTTCCCTCCCAACTCTGGAGTTGGCAATGAAGGGAGAACAACAGTCCCTCCCCTCTTCCAAAGTTGAGCAGAACCATGAGGTCTGATCCTGGTTCTTCACTCCTGCAATGCATCGTCTTGACTCAACATTTGACTGGTACCCCAAGCACAGGCTGCTAGCCAGCCACAAAGACAGAACAAGTCAGCCCATGTCTGCTTCTCTTCTCCATATCCAAGCTTAAAGATATAGCGATATATCACTCACCTTTGGTTCTAACAGGAGCTCTGATCAATCACAACCACAATCCCAAAATAAAACTCTGCCACACAGCTGTTGAGCATACAGGTGGAGAGAAGAGTTGGGGATTTTCCCTGATCCTTTACTACATTTCAGAACTGCTTTACAAGGACAGGAGTCCAATAAGGTCAGACAGAATTTGCCTATATATGTGTCACTACAAATGTCTTAGTCATGGCTTCCTACCAAACTATGCAATTTCAATATCGTTTCAGACATGCATTTAAAAAAAAAACTTAATATAGGAAGATAGTGCCTTCTCCAGAAAGGGATTCAAATGGTATAGATCACATGGCAGCAAGAATAGCCTCGTGGCGCAGTGGTTAAAACACTCGTGGCGCAGTGGTTAAAACGCTGTACTGCAGCTAAAACTGTGCTCACGACCTGGGGTTCAAATCCCAGGTAGCCGGCTCAAGGTTGACTCAGCCTTCCATCCTTCCGAGGTCGGTAAAATGAGTACCCAGCTTGCTGGGGGGGCAATGTGTAGCCTGTATAATTAAACTGTAAACCACACGGAGAGTGCTTGTAGCGCTATTGGGCGGTATATAAGTCAAATAAATAAATAAATAAATAAATAAATAAATAAATAAATAAATAAATAAATAAATAAATAAATAAATAAGAATAGGACATTTTAAGATATTTAGAACACCAGTCACTGGCAAAGAATGTCCTTAGACTGCCAGGAATTGTAAGAAGATTGCCATCTGTAAGGAATCTGTATTTAGATGACATTTCCCCAATCTAATGACTTCCAGTCCAGATGTGTTAGCCTACAACTTGCGTGATCCTATGTCATTAATACCCATGTATGATGAGGACTGTGATCCAGCAAATCTAAAGGACATTGGGCCGAGGAAGGCTAACATAGTTCACTGCTTGGAAATCACATTATTCAAGTGTCAGCATCGGAAAAGGTTTGAAGAAAAGAGTGAGTGATAATTTCCTGTTTTGTGTCAATAAGCTGGAGAGCGCTAGGATCTTTCTAGGGACAAGCAACAGCAACACACAGCATAAGACAGACATAGCAATGTAGAATATATTTCTCATACAAGTAAAACCTCCAGTTCCAAAGTAAAGCCTCTGGTTCCATATGCAACAGACCCACATAATGGACGTCTTCCACACTTCTAATGTCAGTTATTCATCATTCATATGCAGAAAGGACAGAGTAACAGTCCTGTCCAGAGCTGAACCACACTTCTCTTCTTTACCTTGTACTGAATTTCCACCACAGTACCCATGCACCAGTACAATTCTGGGAGAGGAAGAAACTGGATAAGCAGCTCTGCCTCCCTGACTTGCTCTAATCATCCTCACTCTACTATTATCTTTTTTCCCCTCAATAGAATGTTTGCAGTCATACACTCCATCATACTTGACAGTGTTCACCACAGCAAGCACAACTTGTTGATTAAAGTTCAAACTAGCACTTAGCTTACTGAGTGATTTTAGGCAAGGCACTGTGTATAACCTGTTTCACAGGGTAATTTAGAGAATTAAAAAACACTGCTCTGAAGTGCTAATAAGGTAAATAAGTTACAAATGGAGCATAAAATGTACATTTAAAACCAACATTATGAACAAAATAAATTTCATCAGTTTGCCTACCTTTATTCTTCCTAAGCTAGAGAACTTCTCCTTGTCTTCCACGACTGCCTTCAGCACTGGCTGAGACATTCTGTTTTTCATCTTAACGTTAGCACTACTGTTGAAGTCAACGCCACTCACAACAGCTCGACGATATGAAGTAGACCTCAAACTACGCCTCAGCATCCCTGGGCTTTCTGAATCACCTTCTGCTTCTTCATCTCTTCCAGATATCGAAGGCACACCACGGGTCTCCACCATACTGCGTACTTTAAGAACCCTTCTGTCTGGCTCCACATTTTGGCTGTTGGCTTTGTTAGTTACTTTTGTTTCAGAAGCTAAACTTTTAGGGATGATTTGTTGCTTCCCCACTTTTAAAGCAGCAGGGCTATTTGTGCTCAGCACCACAGGTGGTGTTTCTGTGATCTCATTCTGATTCGATGGCAGTCTTTGGAGGGGCAGATGCTGTTGTTCTGACAAAACAGACAGACAAACAGATGCCTTCTCTGCTTTTTTAGGCAGCTGTCCAGGTTGTAATGCTGAGGTGGCGGCTGTGTTGTTATTTGGCAAATGCACAACTTCTGTAAGTGACAATCCACGATCTGAAGGGAAAACAATTTGTTCCTTCTCAGGACTCTGTACTGGTCGTTTGGAAATTCTCCCTGAGTGAACCGGTTTACTGCTTGTTGAATCACAAGTCGTAAAATTTATGGAATTGTTTGAAACCATTTTCAGGAATTGAGGTGACTGGTCTGAAAGCCAAGGGGAAAGAGTTTTATGTTCAGGAAATTGAACCTTTCCATTTGGCACAGAGCCAAGGCCAGTGCTGAAAAGCATAGGACTCCTTTCAATGGGTTTACTGTCCAGAGAAGTAAGTATTGTTTCAGCAGGCTGAGTTAAGGTGAATGTATCTCTGTCCTCCACAGGGAAATCTGTAAAAAGGACCCCGGTGGAACTCTGGTAGGACTGAGGCCTTGGTTTGTTCTTCATCTGCAGTTGTACTTGGTAAGCAGCCCTCCTCCTCCACAATGGTGCAATGTTAGGACTGGAAAAATCTATTTCATTTTGTGCATCCATAACCGTGAGCTGAAGTCAACTGAACATGGAAGCAGGAATGCAGTCTGCACTTTTAAAGAAGAAAAATAAAAAATAAGAATTGGATCATGCTGTACTAACTCATAAACAATAAGGATAAACAATGCTAATGGAGAGTGAGTAAAAACTCAGATCATCGATCCAGAAGTCCTACCAATTTATACTGGAAAATAGAAAGATGCTATATACTGAGTCATATCATTGATCTATCTAGCTCTCTACTGTCAACAAGGCACATTCCTACTTAATTTCTAAAATTTCTTAATTTCTAAAATTACCAGCGATGCTGGGAATTATCTATGCTAGATCCAAACTACAATACCTGAGAGACTCGACAACAGCATTTCAGGGATACAGAAGAGTAGATCCAAAGCTATCCCAAAATACCTCACATTGGGGCCTATCACCACCAGGAAAACTGTTGCTTGTGGATCTAAATTCTTGCATTTCCACAGAAATAACCAAAGCTTCTGGGATAAAGGCAGCTCTGTGAAATAGCTTCATCTATTAATGAAAAGGCCTCTTTACCCTACAATAACATCCAGCCAAAAGATCTGAGGGGTCTGGATTGCACTGTCACACCCACTTTCACAAAGATAACATAGGTTGAAATACTAAAGGTGCTTTGTTTTTATTTTAAAAAAACCAGAATAAATGTGAATTTCATAGTCCACATACACACAGATTAGTGGTTAAACAATAGAGTAGAGGAAAAGCTGCTTTTTTTAAAGGGACTACTGAATTACACACCTGTAATGCTTGCCAAGAATAATTTAATATTGATGGCTATTGCCACATTGGTCCCAGAAAGAGAAACAAAGCAGGTAAAGCAGTAATTTGTATTGGATACACTTCTGTTGGTTTTGAGGTAGTATGGCATACAGAAATCTTCATCAATCAGGCAAATGGAGATTTCTTTGAATTTCCTTCCATTAATGAAATCCCAAATACTGTACATTTTACGAGGTTTCATAAGCATGATGAGGTTATAATAGCCACACAATCTGGCACAGTTGCTCCCCCCACTGTTCTTTGGCTTGATGCACATTTTAGTGGTGGGGAGAGTGGGGATCCATTGAAAGTAATATCAGGACCTTGCTGAATTGTGAAAAAAAACCCCAAACTCTCTACTACTGTAGCAACAAATATTTCAGCCCTCTTGTAGTATTACTTGAACTCTGCCCAAAGCTGCAATGCAAATCCTTTGTGCAAAACACACATCACTTGTTTTGGCAGTGGTAGCAGGGGGAGTGAATTAAAAAGTAAGACTGTAATCCAAAGAGATATTGCTGGGCAGTGCTGAAATCCAATGTAAATGTGTTAAATCTTTGAGCATCAGACCACCAAACGATTATTCAAACACCATCTAATTTCAAACAAAAACAAAAATGTCTTGTGGGCCCCATAGAAGCATGCTGTTGGAACAGCTGCAGGATCAAAGTACTAAAAACGGGGTGGGGGGTGGGGGGTGGGCTTCAGACTCATACCAACTTGGAATCCTTCACCAAGGAATGCAATGGTATTTACTGCTGAGTAGACATGTATGATTCCCAGTATGGTATAGTGGATAGAGTGAATAGACCCACCAGGATTCTGGAGAACAGGGTTCGAATTCCACTCAGCCATCAAAACTCACTAAGACAAGTGGAATTGATAAAACCATCCCTTAAATATCGAACTGACCTTGGAAGCCCTATTAGAGTTGCTGTAAATCAGTTCTGACTTGACCACACAGAACACACTGAGAGGCATAAGAGAGGCACTTATGCTAATAGCATAATTCCTTGGATCTTGCCTGAGGTCTCTCTAGTCAGAAGCATCCTACCTTGATTCAAGACAGTCCAAACAGGGAAAGATTTCTGTGGCATCTTAAAGACTAATAGATTTATTGTAGCACGTCATCCAATAGTTACACATGAATGCCAATTGTGTTACAGCACAGGCAAAAGCGTTTTTGGCACATCTGATGAAGAAAGCTGCTGCCTTCATATATTCTTGGCACAGGTTGAGTTTTTTGCTTCACCAGACGCAGTACAATTGTATTGAAGTTCATTCAGAAATAAGTCCCACCAAGTCTTAAGCTGAATCCTCCATGAGAGATCAGACCGATTCAATGCACTGGACTTGATGTTACTAAAATTACTCCAGGAACAAGTCACCTCTCGCAACAGGGAACCATTGGTGTGTTTTAGCAAACTGTTTATGCTTTTGGTCTTGACCACCTACTTTGCTTGCTTACTTATCTAGATCAGGCATCCTTCAGTCTCTAGAGACTATGGTAACTGGTAACGCGCTCTTGGAACAGCGTCTAGGGTGGCTGAGAAGGCCAATTCAGGAGTGACAATTCTTCCACACTGATCCATCCATCCATCCATCCATCCATCCATCCATCCATCCATCCGTCGGTTCCTGCTTCCCCTTCTCTTTCGGTGTCATGTTATTATCCCTCTGAAGCCCTCAAAAAGAAATGGGTCACACCTTTAAACAAGGAGAGAGAAAAAACACAATTCCTACAACTCCTTTTCCCTCTTGGGGAAACAGCTATGGTTAATAGACCTATTTCTTCTGAACAGCATGCTATGCCCGCGGGCACCGTGCCATCGTCCCCCTTTATTAGCATTTCCATTATTTTTACAGTACTGTACTCCCGTACAGTCTTTCCCCTCAGAACGAAGCAGGGCACGAGGTCCCCCGTCCCAGCTACACTGGGGTCTCCTGAGACGGAGCGAGGGAAAGTTGCTCCCACATTAACTCCTCCCGCCCTTCGGAGTTTATTGGAGCCAGAGCCGCTGCCGCTGATAAAACTTTCGGGCGGCGGAGTGAGGAGGCACTCCCAGCTGGAACGGGAGGGAAGCCAACTCGGCCAGCACCACCCCTTCTACAAACGCCCGTCCTTTCCCGCCAACAGCCGCTGACCCCCGAAGTCCTCCTGGCTCATGCCCGGTGTCGTTCT